ATTCTGCATTTTAAAATCCCAGTCTGTCCCTTCCCACCCTGTCCCTTCCCCCCCCCCGCCCCCCTTGGCAACCACAAGTTTGTATTCTATGTCTATGAGTCTGTTTCTGTTTTGTATTTATGTTCTTTTTCTTTTAGATTCCACATATAAGTGATCTCATATGGTATTTTGCTTTCTCTTTCTGGCTTACTTCACTTAGAATGACATTCTCCAGGAACATCCATGTTGCTGCAAATGGCGTTATGTTGTCGGGTTTTGTGGCTGAATAGTATTCCATCGTATAAATATACCACCTCTTCTTTATCTAGTCATCTTTTGATGGACATCTAGGGTGTTTTCCATGTCTTGGCTATTGTAAATAGTGCTGCTATGAACATTGGGGTGCAGGTGTCATTTTGAGGTAGGGTTCCTTTTGGATATATGCCCAGGAGCGGGATTCCTGGGTCACATGGTAAGTCTATTCCTAGTCTCCTGAGGAGTCTCCATACTGTTTTCCACAGTGGCTTTCCTTGCTTCCCTCTCTCATTCTCAGTGATTTGGATGTCTTCTTTTACAATTCTGTGTTTATTCTTTTTGTAATTCATGGTAGTCATCACCTTTCCAGTTACGAGTTTCTCATTTCTGTAGCATCCTGCTGCTTTTCTATTTAGAGTAGACCTGTCAATATTTCTTTTAGCGTGGGTTTAGTGTTGCTAAACTCTTTTAGTTTTTGCTTGTCTCTGTGAAGTTCTTCATCTCTCCTTCTATTCTGAAGGACAGCCTTGCTGGATAGAGTATCCAAGGCTGCATCTTTTTTTTCATTCAGGACTTTGAATGTATCTTGCCACTCCCTTCTGGCCTATAGAGTTTGTGTCGAGAAATCAGCTGAGAGCCTTATGGGGGTTCCCTTGTAACTCACTCTTTGTTTTTCTCTTGCTGCCTTTAGGATCATTTCTTTATCATTGACTCTGGCCATCTTGATTGTGGTATGTCTTGGTGTGGGTCTGTTTGGGTTCTTCCTGTTTGGGACCCACTGAGCCTCCTGTACTTGGATATCTGATTCTTTCTTTAGGTTTGGGAAGTTTTCAGTCATGATTTCTTCCAATACCTTTTCAATCCTCTTTGTCCTTTATTCCCCTTCTGGGACCCCTATTATGTGTAAATTGGCACGCATTATATTATCCCATCGGTCCCTTATATTGTTTTCATTGTTTTTTATTTGTTTTTCTCTCAGCTGTTCTGATTGGGTGCTTTCTGCTGTCCTGTCTTCTAGGTCACTTATTTGTTCCTCTGCATTATCTAGCCTGCTTTGGACAGCCTTTCGGTCAGCTCTCATCTCAGCAAATGAGTTTACTAATTCTACTTGGTTCCTCTTTATAGCTTCTATTTCATTTTTGACATATTTTATATCTGTTTTAGTTCCTTCAGTACTTTGATCACTCCTTTTTTGAAATCTTGATCTAGTAGGCCATCAATGTCTATTTTCTTGATCATGCTTTCAGGGGATTTCTCTTGATCTTTTAATTGGGAGTGGTTCTTCTGCTTCTTCATCTTGCTCATATCTCTCTGGCACTGTGGCTTAAGGAGTATCAGTTATCTAGTTCTCTTGGGGAGGGTGTGCTCTTAATGATTTTATTGAGAGGTCTTTGTGTCTTCGCCCTGTTTCACGAACTCAGCTTGCTGTTTCCAGAGGCCCTCTGTTGGTGCCCTCATCTGTGCTGCTCCCAGTGGCTGTTGGCTAGCAGATCATGAACCCTCCCAACACTGGGTCTGGTGCTGAGCTCTTACCCGGTGGGCGGGTGGGTCACTCCCCCTCCCGATGCCGCAGTCAGATGCTGTGCTTGGGCGGGTGAGACAGGTGGGCGGATTGTGCCCCCTCCCAGCACCGTGGTCAGGTGCTGCGTTCCTGCCGGGAAGGCAGGTGGCCGCCCGCCCTCTTCTGGCGCTGGTTACTCCGCTGCTCTGTGCAGCTGTGCGCTCCACCTCAGGTCAGTGCTCCGAAGGCGGGCTCGGGGAAGACCATGGAATGGTCCTGCCCCTGCTCCCTGCCACATGGTGCGAATTCTCTGAGGTGCCAGGGCAGAAAGATCCTATCTGCCTCAGGCTGTAAACAAGTCTCAGTCCTGCCTAGGAGGTTGCGGAGCTCCTAGATATGGACTCAGGGCTTGGCCCCGCCCCTGCCCGGGTGCAGCGTACAGGAGGAGGTGGCGGCTGTGGCTGCGCCCGCCTCTCTTCTTGCAAGAAGTGCCAGTAATGGCGGTGCGGGTCTGAGGAGACAAAGGCTACGGCGCCTCTCCCCCCAGGGCACACCAGCCGTGTTGCTTTGCTTGTTTTGCAATTTATGGGGGACTGAGGTTGTTCTGCCCGTATCCCCTCCCAGCCGTGGCGCGCAGCCCCCTGCAGTCCCCCCGGGCTGCCTCAGTGCAGCCGCCCCTGTCCTCTGCCCGGCTCACCCGGCCTGTCCCAGTCCCCGGCTTGCGTCTCGGGCTGGGTGTCGCGGGGACCCTTTGTGCCTATTTAACTCAGTTCTGTCGGTCAAGGGGTGCTCGGGGCAGATTGAGCCTCGGAGGCTCCCCCTCCGTCCCGCTGGCCTCTCCGTTGGAGAGGGGGGGAGACCCAGTGAATGAGCGCTAGTCCTCCTTTGCCGCTCCCTCCCTGCAGGATTGATCCCGCACTGTTTTGATATTTGTTCTTTCTTTTTTCCTTTTCTCCTACCAGATTTTTGGCGTCTTTGTCTTTTGAAGAGGGCGATGTTCTGTTGGAATTCATTAAGTGCTCTGGTTGGCTGCGTGGGTCCATAGAAGTGAGTTTTGGTGTATTTGTGGGAGAAGGTGAGCTACGAGTGTCCTTCTACTCTGCCATCTTGGCCCTGAGTAGGGACAGATATTCAATACCTGGAGGCAAGGTTACTTCTCTTCACTGTGGGACGTCACTGCATGTAGCAGGGCTGCAGGTGTGTAGAGCTTGAAACAAACTAGCACAATGGGTCCCAGCCCTGCCCATTCCACCTCCCTTTTGTTATCTAAGCTCTCTCTCTTCAGAAGAGCCCTCCTGGGTGGAGAAGAGGTAATGAGTGCCTGGGGAATGGTGCTCTTAACTCTTGGCCCTGGTCGCAGCTGAGATTTTGCCTGGTGCCACTAGGTGGCGCGTGCCTCCCATCCAGGGTGCCCACTGCTCAGAGCTGCTGCCCCAGAACGGGTGCAGCTGCCCCTCCCAAGACTTCCGGGCAGAGATTTTAGTCCTTGAGCCTGCCTGCCACGGATTGCCTCTGAGAGACCTCTCCTGTCTCTAAAGCTTTCAGGTGAATGGGTGTCATCCTGGCTTCTTCTGTCTCTCACTGCTCTTTCCCAAGGTTCCTGGGGTCGTTCCCACGGGGGAATGGTCTGAGAGCCCTGAGGCCCCCAGGAAGTGGTTGTGGTGCGCTAGGGTCCCCAAGAGAGAAGCAGAGGACATGAGGGCTGGGACGGGTTTGCTTCGTCGTCTCTTGGAAATTTATGATGAAGGACTTTGTGGTCATTGAGGGAAAGATCTTTCGTCTCTTCCAAGAAAAGAAACCATGATCTTATCCCTTAGCAAAGTTTGTGTTTGCCTAGGGTTTACAGGTCACCCAGGCTTACTGAGAGTTTCCTGGGTGCCGTCCTCCCTCATGACCGTCTTCCTCCTCGCCCTCTGGGGAGCCCTTGTAGGAGAAGAAGGTCCTGCTAGTCACCCAGGATGCGGGGATGGGCTCGGGTCTGTCAGACCAGCCTTTGCCAGTTCTGCTACCAACTCCCACCTTGAGGGACAGACACTTCCAGGACTACCATCGGTTCCCTGCAGAGAACAGTTACACCTAAAGGCTGAATCTGTGCCCCCGTGGGGATATTTCCTCTTCTGAGTGAGGTGAAGGGCAGTTGAGCCTCTGTATCTTTGCTGGAGACTCTCCTTCCCTCCTCATGCCCCTCGTCTGTCCTTACTTACCTGTCGCAGCTGTGACCGCTGTGGACAGTGAGGAGATGCCCTGTGCAGGGAACCTGGCTGCTTCTGTCCCTGCCCCAGCCCCACGCAGCACCGTCCCCTGATGGACTCACCCCCTTTAATGACGGCATCCCCCACCACACCATGAAAGCCCCTCCGTGCGCAGCTGTCCTGGGGCGCAGTCTCCAGTCCTTTCTTTAGTCTCCTGTGAGGAAGGTCCTTCCACCTCTCCACAGTCTCCGTGATACAAACTAAAGAACCATCTTCCCAGTTATTGGGGTTACAGCCCTCCCTGCTTGGGGAAGTTAGCTTCATGTTTTTGGTCATGGTTCAAGTCAGTCTTTTCTTCCTTTGGGGTCTCAGTATGTGAGTGGTCTGGATTCTGGGTGTGTGGCTGGGCAGGGCCAGGCTCAACCCAGGACGGGCAGAGGCAGCGTCGCCGGGCCCCCAGGGCTGTGGATGGGGCATCCTCAAGGAGGGAGAGAGGAACAGGTGTCAGACCAGTTCTGTGTCAGTCCCTCCATCAACCCTCCCAGCATCTGGGACAAGTCTCACCACTGTGTGCGTCCCCCACCCCATTCTCTTCTTGTCCCCTGTCTTTGCCTCTATGATCAGACTCCTCCACTGCTCTTCTGAGCCCCTTTCTTCCCCAGAGAACTACTTTATCAGGAAGAGCCCTTGGATTCTTTTGCCTTGTCCCTCTAATCCTAGAGGGGCTGACAGGGGACGTAGTCATCGGGAGTGAATTCCGAGTGTTGAGCCAGAGGAGGAAAGGAGGCTCAGAGACTAAGTCAGCCACCCAAGGTCACACAGCTGGTTGGCAGCAGAGCTGGGTGTTGAAGCCACATGTGTCTTGATTCCAAGTGTATCCTCTTTGTAAGAATCCCCAGTAGGTCAGGGAGACGTGTGTCCCAGACTTGAGCAGGAGAAAGGGAGGAGGACAGTTGTGGAGCATGAGACCAAGACCATAAGTGTTCCTAAGCATGTGGGCGGTGGGGGGGAGTGTTGAGGGGGTGGACAGAGGGAAACAGGGAGGAGTGGGAAGACCAAGAAAGGGTGTTTGGAAAAGATCCTCAAGGGGTTGTTTGGAAAGGCAATGGTGTGGATTAGAATGGTGTCAGTGTACCAAGGAGCATGCATTTGGGGCCAGAATCAACACTACTCACTAAACAGGTGAATAGGCCAAACTTGAGGATCCCATGCCAGAGAGCCTGGGGACTGGATGGCAAACCAGCTCGGTGTGTGTCCTTCAGTCCTCTTGTTGGAACACTAGGCAGACTCCAGCTTTACCCCAACCTGTCTGTGTGTGTCCCCTGCAAAGCTATGTGGTTGTGCCTGGTGGTCCTGCTGGGCCTGTACCACCTCCTGCGCTGGTACCGGGAGAGGCAGGCGGTGAGCCACCTCTGGGACAAGTACGTCTTCATCACGGGCTGTGACTCGGGCTTCGGGAACCTGCTGGCCAGGCAGCTGGACCTGCGAGGACTCAGGGTGCTGGCTGCGTGTCTGACCGAGAAGGGGGCCCAGCAGCTGAGGAAGCAGACGTCCGACAGGCTGGAGACGGTGATCCTGGATGTCACCAAGACAGAGAGCATCGCTGCGGCCACCCAGTGGGTGAAGGAGCGTGTGGGGGACAGAGGTATGGCCCACATCTCTCAAGTCTGGTCTTGTCTCTCTGTAAGGGGAAGCCCTTGTCTGGTTCCTGGCGAAGATTCTCTCTGTGTTTTCCCACACCTGAAGCCCCACCTCATTCCACATGTCTCCCAGGGTAGTGGGGTGGGCGTGGGGCTCTGGCTGGAAGGGTGCACGGGTTGGGTGGGGCTGCCCTGGAGCACTTTAACATGTTCCTTCTGGTGACCCGTAATCATGTGTTTTGGGTTTAAATGTCACCCATTTCAGATGATGTAGCTGAGATCAGGACTCGTTCTAGGTCTAGCAGGGCCATCACTTTCTCTCTGTTTCCTGTTTTCCTTTTCTTCTTCTTCTTTTTCATTTCTAAATATTTTACAATTCTGCGTGTGTTTTACAAGGGAGGTAAAGAACTTCAATTTCTTTTATCTAAGTATAAATGTGAAACGTGATCATTGTGAAAAATCAGAAAATTTAGGGACAAAAATCACGTGCACTCAGTACCTCGCTACTTAGACACAAGTACTGTTAACATTTATATATATGTGGTGTTAGGTTTTGCACATAGTTGTTATCCTGTTCATTTCATTTAATGAGCATTTTAACAACATAATAAAATTGCTTCAAACACGTAATTTTAAAAGAATGAGAATATTCTATCCTTTTGAATAGCATTACTTACAAAAATACTATATTATGGTATGGTAAAAACATTACTTCCTCCTTTTTTGTTCATTCTATTCATCGTAAATGATGTTTGGTAAACTTTTCTTTACTCAAATCTCTACTCTGTCATCATGTATATTGACTGGTTCTTAGAAGTCAGAATCTGGTGAACGTCCCATAAGGGCAGGCCAGTTCCTGAGAGGCGGAGGGAGTGAACTGTGTGTGTCAATGCTTCTGCCACCCTTGCCCCTACTCCTCTGAATTCCTCCTTCTGCTCCCCGCAGTTCTGTTGGTTGGTAAGTCTTCAGGTCTTTGAGATTGTGTCTTTGGGTCTTCAAGAGAGGTTTCCGTGAAGCTGAGTGAACTGTACACTGAGGGGGGTTGGGCCAGAGTGGCCTCCTGTGTGGGAAGAAGAGAGGCTGGAAGAGAGGGTGGCACTTGCTGGGACAGGGGGTGAGTGCTGTATTGGGGGAGGCAGTAAGGAGGCATCCTTGCCTCCCCCTGAAAGCCTGCCTCTGGGGACTCCCCAGAGCCCTGCAGGAACATTGCTCAGTATTGATGCAGGATATCTGAGGGCTGGTCCTCTCAGACTTGACCTGTCTCCACAGTCCCCCAAACCTAGGGTTTCAGATCTGTTTACTCAACCAATCTGTACTCAGACATACAGGTGTGACAACGCAGAACTTAATTCTCGGTAGTCCAGACTGTGGACACAGCAGACTCCCTCCTCCTCAGCCCCTGCCTCCGTCAAAGCTGGGTGCTTGCGTGCTGCCCCCGGGCAGCGGGCTGGGCCAGGGGCCCCGAGTCCGGAGGAGGGCGCACCTGTCGTCCCGCACTTACGGGGCTGCTCTGCCCTGACCCCGGCAGCACGCTGCTATCTGTCCCAGCTGCTCCCCATGCAGCCTCTCTCCTAAAGCCGTCGCTGGACTGGAAGGTGATTTGGAACCCGAGCTGAGCCCCCGCTCAGGGACAAGCATGATACTGCCCTCTTGCCCTCACTGTTCCCAGGACTCTGGGGCCTGGTGAATAACGTGGGCATCTCCATACCCACCGCACCCAGTGAGTGGCTGACGAAACAGGACTTCATGAAGATACTGGACGTGAACCTGTTGGGGGTGATCGAGGTGACCCTGAGTCTGCTGCCCCTTGTGAGGAAGGCGAGGGGCCGTGTGGTCAACGTCTCCAGCATCATGGGCCGGATTTCCCTGTTTGGTGGAGGATACTGTGTGTCCAAGTACGGCGTCGAGGCCTTCTCAGACTCCCTCAGGTACTGGCCTGGGACAGAGCCCCCCGCCCCCGGTCCCCCTGCTCTGTGCTTCTGGGACAGGGTAGGGGCTGTGAGCGAGGCCTTTGACAGGGGCTTTCTTTCTTCACAGACTTAGAGTCTCTTTGCCCCAGAACCTTCTCTCTTGCTTTTGCCAGGCATTCACTGGGAAGCTCCTTTTAAGTTCTTGGTATCAGGATGGGCTCTAGGAGTATTGAGATCAAGTGAATGTACCTCTGCGCTGGAGGAGGGCCCAGAATTGGAAAGTGAGGCAGAATTGTCACCAATATAGCTTGACTACAGGGTGTCCATATACATCACTACTGTGCTGCGAGGTTGGGGGGAGCCTGGGAGGCAGTGTGACCCCGTGGAAGCAGTTAATCAAGGGAGCTAATTAATTGTATCAGTGGTAGAGAGTCTAGTGGCTGCAGGGCTGGGGGTGGCTTGAGTGTGGGGTGGGGAGTGACCCCAGGTAGGGAGACGCTTCTCAGAGGACATTCTGACAGCCCAGCGGATGGATGACCAGGGAGCTGACTGGTGAGGAGAGGAGAGAGGAAACTGAGGAGTGTGGAGGAGGTAAATTGTACAAAGCCCGGGGACTGGCTGGGTGCCAGGTGAATATGAGGAGATAGCATTTAAGGGGCACCTTGCGGCACAACTGGTAAGATTGGGAAGTATAAGCACATGTATGGAAAATCTTGGGAAAACGTTTCTCCCGCTGGCCCTCTGACGTTCTTGCCTTTATGCCTGTCTGCACTGCAGGAGGGAGCTCTCCCACTTTGGGGTGAAGGTGGCTATGATCGAGCCCGGTTTCTTCAGCACCAATATAACCGATGTGGAGGCATTTTCTCAGAGTGTCCGGACAGCATGGGATCAGGCCAGCCCAGAGGTCAAGGAACTCTATGGAGAGACGTTCGTGTCCACCTGTTAGTGAGCTGTGGACCTCGGGGAGAGAAGCAAACCCTTGTCTGGAAGCCTGGGTCATCATTAGTGCCCCCTCCAGGCTCAGGTCCATCCTCCACACTCTGAACCCCACCCCCCAACAGTGGGGACATCCCCAGGGTCCCATGTGGTGAACTGGTGACCCAAGGAATGTATCCAGGCCTTGTACACCCGGGGACCACTGTCTCCTCTTACCTCTTATTTGGGGATGAAATTGAGCCAAGGAGGGAAGACATCCACGTACTCATGGCAGGATGGTGTTAGGGCCAGGCTGGCTTAGGCACCTAGATTTCCAGTGTTTGTGGAGAGCTCCGGTTTATGCGGTGCACACATTCCCAGGAGTCGAGGTGGAGGGGGCTAGTGAGGACTGTGACAGTGGGGTAAGACTGAGGACACGCTCGAGTGAAACCCATGAATTGCATTTGGAGTGTAAGTGCTTTTTTAGGAACTTTTTCCTTTAGTGTATCTGAAAAGTGGGAGGGTTGAGACCTGAGAATAATTTGGATGGTGTCTCCCTCTGAACAGTCCTGGAGTCACTTGAAACACTGAAACCAAGATGGTCCAAGAATCTGTCCTTGGTGACGAACTGCATGGAGCACACCCTGACCGCCTGCCACCCCCGCACGCGATACTCCTGTGGCTGGGATGCCAAGCTCTTCTACCTCCCCATGAGCTACATGCCCACCTTCCTGGTGGATTTCGTGGCCTACTGGAGCTCCCCAAGGCCTGCTCAGGCCCTGTAGCCCCAAACTAGGGTACGTGGGGGGGCGGGGTACTATGTGAGGGAGGGGATGCGTCAGTGAAGGGAAATGCAGTGGAGAGGGGATCTCGTGTCACCAGGGAGACCTGCCTCTCCTCCCTCTCCACCTCCTCCCCAGTCTTCCCGTGGGACATTACTGAGGACGCTGGGGATATTAGGAGGAAGGAACCAAGTTTTGTGGTGAGGAACAGGGACCAATAGTTCATTTCTGTGTCTAGTTTCTTGATCAGTCCCTTAAGGCTCTGAGCCTTATGGCCCTCCTGCCACCCTGAGGAATCCACACGTTTTGGGGGGTGTGAGCTGCTGGAAGTGCATCAGCCCCCTCCCCCCTGCCCCTGTCCACCCCTGCTGGGGTGCCTTGGCCCTGGCCAGCCTCCCCCTCCCACAGGGTAGAAATGGCCTTGGGGAGGTAAAAGCCTCTCTTCCTTGATGACACCTGTGGACAGGGGTGAGGGGGGCAACCGCCAGCCTGGCACATCAGGCCAGGGTGAGGGGGTGTCCTCAACAGGGGTCCTGACACAAGACACAGATACCAACTTTTGATTTGTCATGAAACCATGCATTTCCAATTATTATTTTTTCCTTAAAATAAAAGTTGGAATGTTTACCCAGGCCAGTGATTGGGACCAGGGCCCTGGGGAGCAGCGGGCTGTGGATCCAGGAGAGGAAGAGTCCAGTGCCTTCACAGAGGGGAAGGATGAGCGGATGGCCTGAGGAGGGGTTTGAAGAGGGAAGTGAAATCATCGCTTCTTCCACAGACGTGAGGGTATAATATATAATAACAATCTTTCCAGGGTTTGTCAAGGGACCTGGGTCACGGGGTTAGAGCCAAGGATGGACCCAGGGAGAGGTGTCTTAGGACTGCAGGGCCCAGACCCTTCCCTGGCAACGTGTAGCCTCTGGCTCCCCAGAAGCCTTTCTGTGGCCCTCCCTCTGTCCCCTCCTTTCAAGTCACTGTCTTCCATCCTTTGCCATCCCCGCGTTGCCCAACCTAGATCCCCTCCCTGACCCTCAAGGGGAGGGGAGTTAATTCTGTACCCCAGTCTTACGTTTTCTGCTAACCTTTACTGAGCACCTACTGTGTGCTGGGCAGGAATTCCCTTGGTTTCCCAGGGCTTCCAGACTCTGCGTCACTGCTGCTTTCATGATGCTCTGAGTATGGACTCAATGGAGAAGTCATTGGCACAGAGTCATACAGATTTCCAGGCTGAGTACAAATTTCAGTTGGGAGGTATCTCCCAGTCATCTTAACTCACCTTCCTCATTATAAAAATGAGGTTATGCGGACTTTGGGGAATTTTATGCCTTTGAACAATATTTTATATTATATACCTTAAAAAGCATTGACTTATTCAGTCATTTGAAATGTCATCTAAGTAAACATTTACTGAGTGGGTTTGACATAAATGCAGACAGTGTGAACTATAAGATCTAGATCAGAGGGGCCTCCAGTGTGAACAGGAAGATACCTGAGGACCCCTCGACAGAGGGTGAGTGACAGAACTTGAGTACAACTTTAGCCTTCAGGCACTGTTCTCCGTGAGCCGTGTGGCTGTGCCCGGCGGCCCTGATGGGCCTGTGCCACCTCCTGCGCTGGTACCGGGAGAGGCAGGTGGTGAGCCACCTCTGGGACAAGTACGTCTTCATCACGGGCTGTGACTCGGGCTTCGGGAACCTGCTGGCCAGGCAGCTGGACCTGCGAGGACTCAGGGTGCTGGCTGCGTGTCTGACCGAGAAGGGGGCCCAGCAGCTGAGGAAGCAGATGTCCGACAGGCTGGAGACGGTGATCCCGGATGTCACCAGGACAGAGAGCATCGCTGCGGCCACCCAGTGGGTGAAGGAGCGCTTAGGGGCAGAGATACACCCGGACTTCTTTTGTGTTTGTTTATTTCTTCTCTCTGAGCAAGAGGAACTCTCTTCTGCTCACTGGGAAGATCCCGAAGATGCTTTGATTTTCAAAGCCTTGCCCTTTCCTTGAAACTGATGCAGGGTGTTTCAGAGTCTGCCCCCTGATGTCCAATGTAGAGCTATTCTCTAGATTCTTCTGCCCTGGGTTTTCAATTGTGCTTCTCCCAGACAGATTTTAGAAAGTGATTATTCATGTTTTTTTCTTTCCTTTTTCTCCTTTATTTCTTTTAAAAAAAATTTCCATTTTCCTTTCTCTTCTCTAGCTTTCCCTTCCTTTCTGTTTCTTACTCTTCCTCCTGCCTGTCTTTGTCTTTCTCCTATATGAGAAATATTCAAACTCTATACGGAAGCAATAACCATCATCATGAGATTTGTGAGCCCCATTCTACGTTCCCAAACTGTCTATGCATTTAGTTAAGATGGTTTTATTGCCTACTGAATGTAAGCAGTGGTAGAGCCCGTGCTCAGCATGCACAAGGTCCTGAGTTCAATCCCCAATGCCTCCATGGAAAATAAATGAATAAAAATCTAATAACCCCCCCCCTCCAAAAGAAGCCCCAAACCAAACAAACAAACACGCACAAAAAACCCAGATACTTCTTTGCGATTTCTAAGAGTACACGATAAGTGTGTTGGGGACAAGAAGATTTGGTCTTTACCTGAAAAGTCTGACAGCTGAGAAAGGGACAGGAGATACAGAAATGTTGATCCCTTATGACCATCCCTTATGATGGTCATGACTAAGTTAGCCATGGTGGCCTTGGTAGGCAGCAGAATGAGGGGAGGGTCTGGGAGATAGGGACTGAGCTGAGGATTGACGAAGTGAACTTGGGAACCTGGCAACCTGACGAAGTAGAGTGGGAAGACTTTCTGAGTGAGGGGATAGTGTCAGCCTAGGCCTAGGATGAGTAATGGTTGAACACTTATGCTGTGGGGTCCCTCAGGGGCAGGCAGAAATGAACGAGTGGGATTATGGAGGGCTGTGGATCCCAGACAGACTATGGATCATTATGCTGTTTCCAATGGAACCCCATGGAAGGACTTTTATCAGGGGAGCTATAATAATTGAATAAACCTCTAGAGAACCTACTGGCTGCAGAGCAGAGGATGGCTCAGAATGTGGGGCCCTGAGACCGTAGGTAGGGAGATGCTCCTTAGATGACAGTTAAAATAACCCAGCTGACTGGTGGCCAGGTTGTTGACTAGAGCAGAAGAGGGGAGGAGGAGTGTGGAGGAGGTAAGGTGGGAAACTCCGGTGATTGGATAGATGTGAGGGGAATAGGAGGAGATAGCATATAAGTGGCGCTGAGCAGCACGGCTGGTAGGATTTAGAGCTGATAAGCACACGTATGTGAAATATTTCAAAAAATATTCAAACTCTATACAGAAGCAGTAACCGCCATCATAAGTTTTCTCTCCTTGGCTGCTGTGTTTCACAACTCCCTGACCTTTCAAACTTAACCACCCCAGTCTGCGGTGAGGTTTTATTGATTTTGTTTGGCTCCCGTGGTGGCTGAAGACCTTGCCACTCTGCCTCTTGGCTAGCAGACAGGAGCTCTCCTACTCTGGGATGACGTGGCTATGACTGAGTCTGGTTACTGTAAGACCAATATGACCAGCCCTGAGATGTTTTGGGGGGCTTACGGGCAGCATTGTACTGGTCCATCCCAGAGGTCCAAGGGGAAACGTTCTTAGCAGCAGGTGAGTGAGCCATGGACCTTGGGGAGAGAAGCAATCATTTCTCTGGAAGCCTGGGTCCATCATTAGTACCTCCTCCAGTCTCAGGTCCATTCTCCAGGCTCTGACTCCCCCACGTAATGGGGACATGAGCTCCACCCCCAGGTCCTGTGTGGTCAACTGGTGACCTAAGGAAAGGATCTAGGCCTTGTAGACCCGAGCACCACTGTCTCATACAAACCCCTTGCTATTTTGGGAAGAAACTGTAAGCCTTAGAGGGATGATATCCATGGACTCGTGGCAAACTGACATTAGAGCAGCTGGTTTTCATGTGCTTAGGTTTCTAATGTTTGTAGCAACATCCAATGTGTATCAGATATTCTCAGAAATATGGCCAGAGGTCACTTAGTGTGGAACAGTTGTTACTGTGGGAAGAATTTGGGCACTTCTTGGGAGATTTGGATGGGTTTGGGGTAGGGGGTGGCCAGGAATTCTTTGAAGCTTTCTTCCCATATTAGAGCTGTGAATTGGAGAGGAGGGATGTGGAAGTATATAAGGCAACTCTCTCATCCTGAACAGACATCAAAATAATAAAGTATTTTGAAACATTGCAAGTTGATTCTCTGTGCTTAGTCATGGACTTCACAGACATGCTCTGACCAGCTGCCTCCCACGCGTCTGATACTCACCTGGCTGGGATGTCAAGCTCATCTCCCTCCCCACGAGCTACATGCCCTCCTTCCTGGTGGATGTCATGGTTGACTTGAGCTCCCCGAGGCTTGCCAGGGCCCTGTGAAGTCAAGACAGGGGTATTTGTGGGGTCAAGTTGGGTGCCATGTGAGGGCATGCTGCTTGGGGATGCTCATGACGAGGGAAATAGGGTAGAGAAAGAGATCTTCTCATCTCTAAGGTCACGTAGCTCTCCTTCCTTCTAATCTCTGCTCCAAGCTTCTCCTGAGACTCTGGGGATATTAGGAAGAAGGGGCCTAGATTTGTGGCTGAGGAACAGAACTCCAATAGAACACGCCTGTGCCCTCTTCCTTGAGCAGCCTCTCAAGGCTCTGAGCCTCATGACCCTCCTGCCAGCCTGAGCGATCTACACTTTTTGGAGGGTGTGAGCAGGTGGCAGGGGCTCAGCCTCACCTGCTCTGCCTCTCTTCGCCTCTTCAGGATGTGTGCTGGGTTTCCTTATCCCATGGGATGAAAATGGCCTGGAGGAGGCAAAGTCTCCGTTCTCCACGGAAAACACCTGTGAAGAGGGGTTGGGGATGCACAACCACCAGCCTGACCCAACAGCCTCATGTGCCAACCAAAGAGAGGCCAGCCATTGAAGTGGCAGCATCCTCAGTCCTAGGAGGAGAGCCTTCTGTGTGGTCCTGCAGCCCTCCCATCCCCCATTCCATGGCCTGAATTTTCTGATGTTGGGAGTTTGAGTCCAGGGATTGCCACCTGGAGTCAGCAGAGAGGCCCACGAGATGGTAAGTCAGGCCCAGACCTGTGCTGGGGCAGTTCCAAGTCATCCTTTTTCAGATCTAGAGCCAGCCCTTGGCTCTCACCTCTCTTCTCAAGAGCTGGGACAGTCCTAGTCTGACTCAACCCTTGAGTGACGTTGTCTGACTTCTCTCAGCTGAGACTTCCTCGTTCACCCACCCAGGAGGCAGGATGCTGAGTGGCCTCCCAGGTTCACTGTAGGCGGTGCTGTGCCTTGGGGTGGGTATGAAGTAGGTCAGGTTAGCCTCCACCTCCCGCCTCCACCTCCCACCTCCACAGCCTACAGGCTTTGGGTCTGCTCCCCAGGGCTGTGTTCATGAACCGACACCCTCCCTCGCAAATCCTACCACCCTTGTACAGAACGGCCAAACTCTCCAAGGTTTCCCAAGGTGACACTTGCTTTATCTGATTCTGGAGCTGCCCGGTCTTGGTAGCTAGCGGAGCATGGAGATGCATCCTTGTCCCTTTCCTCTAGAGAACTTTGTGGCCCCATTTTTGCGTCAGATCCTCTAGAAGGGAGGGTGTAGGCAGTTGGTCCTGAGTCCCTCAGGACAAGCTGGCGACCAGGCTCATCCTGAGGAATGCTGACCCTAGAGGTTTAATCCAAAGAACAGTGGTAGACTCCAGCACCATTCTGTCCAATATTTTATGCAACCCTGGTGTGGTGCCTCCTGGCTCGCCCCTCTGTCTCATTTCCTTGCTTCCTTTTCCTTATCAGCTTCCCTTCTACGTTTCTGTGAGTTCTTTGCCCCTTTGCCTAGAATCTCTCTTTTCCCCCCACGTCCTGACCCTGAGAATTTTCCAAGTCTCTGGCCCCAGTTCTCTGCTCCTCCCACGTGTCATCCCCTCTCAGAGCCAAGGACTCAGCCCCAGGCCCTTCCTGCAGCTGCCCAGGGAACTCGTAACCCACCTTCATCATCCAGCAGGACACCAGTCTCAATCAGACTGTTCATATCAGAGTCCTCAATTCTCCTGACTTCTCCTGCCACCTGTGGTTCCACCTGCCATCAGCCCCGTACCTGAGAATCACTTTGACTCCTGGCCTTCTTTCCCTCTGCACATTCCATTAGCCACTGTGTCAGCTGACTTAGTAAACCTTTCCTTCCACTGACATCCTCCGCACACCGCACCATCAGGCTCCTTAGCTGAGCAGATCACCTAGAATGTGCCTGGTCCTGGACGTAGAAGAAAATGCCCAGTGGGGTCCTTGCCTGGGGGAGCTAATGTGTCCCTCCATTTGCCTGGTTGCTGGGTGGTGGGATGCTGGGCTCACTTGGAGTGCAGTGAGGGCTTCTTGTTGGTGGCCTGAGTATGACCTCCCAAGGACCCAGGCCCTGAGCCCCTCAGGGCTTTCTGCTTTCTGGGAGTTGGGGCCTCAAATAACCAGCCTCCCTTATAGGAGGGTCTGCTGCCTCTGACCTCAGGATAATAGAGGCTCATGTACTCTGGGGGAGACCCTTTATTTCTCATCATCTCTTGTAATGGAGACTCACCTAAGGGCAGAGAATGTCAAAGTGCTGATAACCTGGGATTCACTTCTCTTGGGGGCTGGAGGGCACAAACCCCATTCTGTTTGTTTTTCATGAATGAATTTTTCTTAATTTTTCCACTGAAAATAAAAATTAAGTTTATTTACATGTCTGCATTCAAAACAAAGGATTTTGACCCCTGGGCTAGAGGTGGAGGATTTCTGGGGAGGTTCTCTGGGCTGAGTCCTCCTTTTCCATTCCTCTGCTCAGACCACCCAGGCGAGCCACCTCTCAGCGCCAATGTCCCCACTGGGGTTTTTCCCATCCTCGGCACCTTCACCTGTCAGGCCTAGAGGAGAGAAAGAGGCAACCACTAGGGCTGTCTGAAGTGACAAAGCTTCAGGTTGGACTTGAATTTCTTGCAGCTAGGCTAATTGGTGCGCTGATGCATCCACCTATAAAAATTAGAGTGGTTTACGCAGGGTCAGTGCATCTGTTGGCAGCAGTGGAAGGGAGGAGAGCTCTTCTCAGCGGGTTCCAGCAAACTGGGGCTCAGAGGACCAGCCTCTCTCACTGTTTCCTGAGCTTGATTCTTCTCAGCCATCACCTCCCCACTGCCCTATGGCGGCTGACGCGGGCCTCTCCTTCATGTACCGCTGGTTCAAGAACTGCAATCTGGTCCGCAACCTCTCGGACAAGTACGTCTTCATCACGGGCTGTGACTCTGGCTTCGGGAACCTCCTGGCCAGGCGGCTGGTTGATCGGGGTATGCGGGTGCTGGCGGCTTGCTATACTGAGGAGGGGGCCTGGAAGCTTCAGCAGGATACTGCCTACCGGCTGCAGACCACCCTGCTGGATGTCACCAAGACTGAGAGCATCCAGGCGGCGGCCCAGTGGGTGAGGGACCAAGTGGGTGAGCAAGGTGGGATGAATTGCCTTCTTCGGCTTTCTCAGTTTATCTTTTTTCCTCCTCTTTCTCCCGCAGGCATCTGACAGTTATTAGGGACCCTGTTGTTGAGATAGGGTGGAGAGATGATGTTGAGAAAGGGGCTGGGGCTGTAGCTCAGCGGGACTGGAGCTGCTGGTCTGCCTGGTTTGGTCTGCCTGCATGAAGAGGTGATTTCCCAAGGAAGTTTTCTCTCCTCAAAACTAACAGGGATGGCAGAGGTGGGGGTTGCAATAGGAGGTCAGGGAGGGAACTTGTGTTCTGAAGGTCCAAACCTTTAAAGATGGAGTTGCACCTCTGGGACTTCAGTGGTCCTAACCATCAGCTCCTACAGAAATGTGAGCGTATTTCTTGTTGGGATCAGGCTGGGAAGACGGGAGCGGGAACAGGAAGTTGGACTCCCTGAGCTCTCCTAGATTGCATCAGGCTAGACAGCAGGGGAGGGATCTGTCCTCTTCCTCACACCATGATGGATTTTGGGTCGACCTCAGGGTAGGTGTCCACATCAGAGTGGCTGCTCTTACTGGGAAAGGAGGCTGTGGATTAGGGCTGGGCTAGGGCTGCTTGGGAACCTGCCCGGGGAGCTACCCACACCCAGAACGTAGGTGCAGGAATGGGAGGAGCAGGTGGCTCTGTTGCGGAAGCAGCAGCCTGGGAGAAGGCCTGGCTCCCAAGGGAACCACCCTGGGGTCTGTGCACACAGGTCGGGGCAGGAGAGCTCGCTCCTTGGCATTTCCACTAGATCAATGTTCCATATATTTTACTTATTTTTCTCATTTATTGTCTATTTCTCCCACCAGAATAAAGCCTCCAGGGGTAGAGGCAGAACATTTTATCTCTTTTATTTACTACCTATCCGTAGTACTTAGATCAGTGTTTGGCATCTAGTGAGGAACTCAGAAAGTATTAGTTGAATAAACTAAGGAATGAATATTTCAGCAAGAGTGAATTTCTTTCTTCAACAGGCTGTCTCTGCCCAGTGTCCTACATTCGGCCTTGAGCCACTTATATTAATGACTCGTTAGGTATGTGAGTTTCCTCTTGCTGCTGTAATAAATTCACGCAAACTTAGTGGCTTGAACCTGCACAAATAGTTCCAGAAGTCAGAAGTCCCAAACAGTCTCAATGGGCGAAAATCAAGGGAAGAATCCATTTCTTGGCCTTTTCCAGCTTCTAGAGGCTGCCTGCATTCCTTGGCTCACTACCCTCTTCTTCCATTTTCAAGGCCAGCAAGGATGGGCTGAGTCTTTTTCATGCTGCCGTCTCTCTGGTTCTCTGTCTTCTGGTTGCCTCTATTGCTGGTAGATACAACCGGTGTTCCAAGTTCTTGCCCCGTCCCAGAAAGGATTCAGAGGCAAGATGTAGTGGTTAAAAAAAGTAAAGTGAGGATTTATTAAAAGATGGATAGTACACTGTCAAGGGGAGAGCAGGCAGGCTCAGGGGAGCGGCTGCCCTGTGTTTCTTTGGTAAGTTAGTTACATAGGGTGTAAAAATGAATGGGTGGAATATTCATTGAGGAGGGAAGAGCTTGGGGTCATATTTCCTGATTATTATCCCAACTCCACCTTCCCAAAGGGAGGAGGGATTTTTGTCCTTATTAGTCGGAAGTGTCATGGCATTGTTGCATGATGGGGACTTCTGACCTGCAAGGCTAATTTTATTGACATGAGGGCATAATGAGCAAAAGGTTACATATGGGCACTGAAAATTCCTGCCTTTTCTCACCTTTCTTTGTTGGTCTCCAGGCCAAAAGGTGTGGCCCCTTATCAGCCCAAAGGTTCCTGCTTTTCTTTCTCTGCCCAGGGACCCCCGGTGCTTACATGATGTGTAGTTTCCTGCATTTGGCCTGTGCCCCTCCTTGCTGCCCAGTTCCTGCCATTTGGTCTGTGTCCCCCTTTCTCTGCTCACATCTAGCTCTCTGCCTGCCCTGACACCTCTTCCACTTAGAAAGACCTTTGTGATTATATTGGGCTCATCAGGCTAATCCAGGATAATCGTCCCATTGCAAGGTCAGCTGCTTAGCAATTTTAATTTCATCGGCTACCTTAAGTCCTCTTTCCCATGTAACCCCCCATATTCCCGGATTCCAGGGACTAGTATGGAGACCTCTCTGGTGGGCCGCTGGTCTAAGATGCACTGGGAAATGGCGGGGGAAGGGGTTTTTACTTCCTTTTTTGATGCCCCTGAGAGTCCCAGGGCATGACAAGTTGACACAGCCCTAAAGCTGTTCGCGCTGCTCTGAAAGTTCTCTAGCTGCTCTTTGCAGAGAGAAAATCAAGGTTGTCCTGGATCACCAGCAGACCGGATGATCAGAGATAGCAGCAACTGTGTCCCTTCTCCATGGGCGGAGACCACTCGAGTTTTACAGTCTTTGGGTCTCAGGAGCTCATTTCCCCCCCTGTAAGACAAGAGAGTCCCCGCTAGCTGGGAAGGTTCTGAGTCCTGCCAGCTGGTCTCCTGGGGTCTCGCTAATTGTAGGAAAGCAGGAAGATAGAGTGGGGACACAGCCTGTGTGGGGACCCCAGGCCTTGGGGAAGGAGTGAACCATGATTGGTGTTTACATCCAGAATTGCCTGAAAGAGTATCCTGAGGCTAAGGAGTCCAAGGCAGGGTGGTGGGATGGGGGAGGGGAAGGGAAGGACCCCCAGCCCCTCCCCCAAGTGGAATTTTACCTGGAAGCCAATATGTTAAACAAATGAAAGCTGAGGTTCTCCTGCATCTCCCTTCCTCAGCAGTTTATGGGGTTCAGCCTGGAAAGCTCTGAGGACTGCAAACCACAGGCTGGAAACAACTGCTCTAATCCAGTCAACAAAAGACCTAAGATCCAGGGAGGGAAAATGACTTGTCCAAGGCTGGAGGTAGAACCAGGACTAGAACTTGAGGCTCTTCAAGTCTGGCCCCTGCAGAGCTGAAAGACGATGCATAGCATTATTTCTCTCCATTTATACCAACTCAATTTAAATATCTTAAAGAGAGCCTTTTCCACATTTTTCTATAATTATTTTATTTAAATATTTTATATATTTGTTTGTAATTATTACTTATTTCTTCTCTGGTTTGTGAACTCCTTGAGGGATAAGACCCTGTTTTGTTCATTTTGTGTGTCTAGCACATTCCTCTGTAACTGACAGAGAATAGATGCATGCATGCATGAATGTGTGACTGGATGAATGAATGAATGGAGTGATTTTGGTGACGTAAAGTGGAGTTGGTTTCTTATATTCAGGTGAGTAGGGAGGGGGAAGCACAATGTGGGAAGGAATTCAAATATTAATTCATTGGTGTGAAAATGAGATCTCTTGTCCTGGAGCTAACAGCTTGGATGCTGTTAGCTAAAGTCTGGATTATAGCTGGTACAGGGCCCCGTCAGCTGGCAGACTATGAGCGTCAGAAAAAGTGCCCCTTTAGGGAAAACCAGTTAGTAAAAGGCACGTGTTCCTTTGGGCTGTCACAGCTCCCCGCCCCACACCCCCAGCCTGGCTGTCTTGTTCCTTGTGTACATGCTCAGTCACACTCAGCAGCCCTGAGCTGGTGGGTAGTGGACCCTGGCCCTTTTCCAGAGACACTGCTGATTTCTGTGTGGTTCTCTCTCCCACCATCTCACCCCCCAGGCCTCTGGGCCCTAGTGAACAATGCTGGTGTGGGCCTGCCCGGTGGCCCCAATGAATGGCTGACCAAAGAGGACTTTGTGAAGGTGATCAACGTGAACCTGGTGGGACTGATCGATGTGACTCTCCATATGCTGCCCATGGTCAAGAAAGCCCGGGGCAGGGTCATCAATGTGTCCAGCTCTGGTGGTCGTGTGGCTGTCATTGGTGGCGGCTACTGTGTCTCCAAGTTTGGCGTCGAGGCCTTCTCTGACAGCATCAGGTGACGGGGCTCTGGTGCCAAACGACTCCGGGTGGCAGTCCTGGGGGTTTCACTTCAGGAAGAGAGGGCTGGATGAGGGCACCCTATGGGCAGGGGAGTTCTGGAGAGAAGATGCTGAAACAGTAGCAGGAGGAAGGCTAGACCTCAGGGGACCTTCCCCGAGGGCCCAGAGAAGAAGGGATGAGAGAAGCGGTGGGGCGGTGATGGGCAGCCTTCCCTTGAGCTGCCCCAGAATGAACAACACCCTGTCTGGGCTTGTGGAACTAGGAGGCACAGTCCCCCAGACAGACAGAGCAGCCTAGGAGCAGACACGCCGTGGGTGGCCCTAGGGAGGATGCAGGGCTTGCACAGACCCCATCGCTCCTTTGCCACCTGGGTGTTGGGGTGGGGCTGAGTGGGAGGGACCGGGTGAGAGCAAGGCTTCTCAGGTCTAGATTCTCTGGAACTTCCTCCCGGCTGGGCTTGCCTATTGTGAATTGCCCGGAAATAGGCTTGGAGAAGGGCTTATGTGCATGCAGAGCCCGGCCTGGTGCAGGGGTGGAGGGAGCATCTCCAGGCTCCTGATCTCCAAGGGGAGATTGGCTCCTTTAGAGGTGTCAGAAGTGACTTTCCCTGATGATCCTTTGTCATGGTGGAGGCCCAGACTGAGTCCAGCTCTTCTTTCCCAGGCGTGAGCTCCACTACTTCGGGGTGAAAGTCTGCATCATTGAGCCGGGGAACTACCGGACATCCATTCTGGGCAAGGAGGGCCTGGAGGGGCACGTGCGCAAGCTATGGAAGCGCCTGCCCCAGGAGACGCGCGAGAGCTATGGCGAGGAGTACTTCCGTAACTGTGAGTGTCCCAGGAGGGAAAGGGGTCTTTGAGGGGGATGGGGAGGTCTTGGGGGTCACTGATCCACTTTTACAGATGATGGGATGGAGGCTGGTAGGGGTTATGAGTCCAAGGCCACACAGCTGGTGGCATAGTTGGGATTTGAGAACTGCGGGGAGTGGCAGAACCATAGCTGTGGGAAGGTGGGGGTGTTTGGAGAGATGTGGCCCAGGAATGCTGCCCACCCCTGGCCCCCGGCCTGCGGCCCACGGCCCGCGGCCCCCGAACATCAGTGTGCAGGTGACTCAGGTGAAAATGCACTGATGTGAGTACAGAGAAGTTATAAAGAGCACAGCTGCTTGAGCCAGACTGCCTGGGTTTGAATCCTGGCTCTGCCACCGAGGGGCTAGGAGACTTTGGGAATGTTCCCTAGTCACTGCATGCCTTAGTTTTTTCATCTATAAAATGGAGCTAATTGTTACCAGCCAGAGTCCTTGGACTCCTTAATCAGTAGAAATTGATAAGAGGCCGAATGAGGAATGCAGGCAAGGCTTTACTGGAACTCGTGCGGCAGCACGAGGGACTGAAAACGAGTAACAGGTGTCCTTGTTTCCTCCACGAAGAAGTGTTGAGCTGGTCCCTGAAAAGGGACGAGGTGGGTCGGGCCACGGCCACCGTAGCAGGGAAGGGGGGAGGGGTGGCCTAGGTGGTCGGCCCACCCCCTTGGGGAGGCCGCGGGCGGGGATTGTGCACGGTACTCTGCTTTTGCTCTGGGCGACTCAGAAGGGCAGTTGGGTTTTGGCATTTTTGTATCTTGTTGTTCCTACTGTGTTCCAAGGGCGCACATGTGCAGTTATTTTCAGTCCCCTTCTATTTGTATTCTGCTGCTCCAGGAGGCATCTGTCCAGGTGCAAGCCCCGCAGTAAAGGGTCCCAGGTCTCAGTCTGCCTCACAGTGATAGTGCCTACCTCACGGGGCTGCTGTGAGGATTACTGTCTGTGGAGTATCCTGCACACACTCAGTGCTAACCAGTCCGGAAGAGAAGAAGCACGCGCGAGGATTTGCAAGGAAGGGGCTTTAGGCAGCTCTGCTTCTCCCGGAGCTAAGGGCCTCCTCTGACTCTCAGGTGTTTTTCAAGAGCGCTGGAGGGACATCACAGCTGCCGACTGTACTGTCCCAAACGGTGCGGTTCTTCCAGTTCGAGGGATGCATGGCGCCCCGGCCGTGGGGGAACGAGAGGTGGGGTGGCCTGCAGGCGCAGCGGAGGAGGGCCTGGTCAGCCTTGTGGTAGGAGAGAGAAGCCCCCTGGGAGGGCCAGAAGGCCCCACGCTCTCAGAGCGCCTAGTCCCGAGGCAGAGCCAGCTGGTTTCAGGAGAGGATGAGCCATCCGTGAGACTCCATAGTTCTCTCCATTTCTCTGGCTCCAAGAGCCTGGAGGGAGAGCAGCCCCTCAGGGCCACCCCTGCGGCTGCCCTTGTGTGGGGCAGAAATGGGGGCGGAGTGGGCGGCTGGCACTCTGCTGGCTCAGGAGGACCCCTTGGGCGGAGTGAAGCCGCCAGGCTCTCAGCCGCGGCCTGTTCCCTTCAGGCCTCCGCGGTCTGGTCACACCTTCCCCTGACCCAGAGTCTTTTCCCCTCTCTTTTACTCGGCTTCCATCAGCGTCCTCGAGAGACACTTTCCTGTCGTGGTTAAGCTCTTAGACACTGAAACTAGGCTGTCTGAGTGTAAATTTCAGCTCCCTTGCTTGCCTTAGGCCAGTCACTCAGTTTTCTCATCTGCAATGGGTTATGAGAAGGAATGAGTCAATATATGTGAAGTGCTTAGAATATTATCTCCTTCCTGGTAATAACAATTTGATCTAAAAGTCTGTTGTTTTTATCTTCCCTTAGAGCGTGGCCTCCTTTTCTCTATTACATTGGTGCCTGCAAGCTCTAAGTTCTTGTGTTGCAAAGAGAGATTCTTAGCTAGTATTCATCCACATTCCAAAGTGATGAATTTTAAAACATACCCAGAAAATCTGGATGAGCTAAATGTAACCACTCAGTCAAATTCCTGGCAGGTGTCTAAATGTCCTGGGTGGCAGGGGTGCTTATTTCAGTGACATGCTGTCTTGGATCTCATACAACAGAGTAGAAAGCCAAGATACCAAACCATGACAGCCATGTGTCCACTTAATGCACATTTTATTGACAGCCTACTACATGCCAGGCCCTGGGTGGGGCTGACAGTGGACAAAGCAGCCGGGCACACAGCCGGCTGCCTGTAGCTTACGGCCCAGTGGAGGAGACAGACCTTAATAAAAACAGACATGTCTAATGACAAACGTGGATAAGCACTGTGGAGAGAAGAAACGCAGGGCTATGAGAAAAGAATGGGGTTAGGAGTAGGGCCCCAGTTTCGCTTATGGTGTAGGGAGGGCTTCTCTGAAAAGAAGCAGGTCCTCTGACTCTGAAGAAGAATTAGTCAGGCACTGCTGGCAAGTAGAAAGGGGAAATATGCAGGTAAGTTTTTTCAGGAAGGCCCTGAGGCAGGAAACTCTTTAGAGGAATTTTAAAGATGCCAGAGGGTGGGGAGCAGTGTAGGGGAACAGTGCGGGGGAGCAGTGTAGGGGAAAAGTGCGGGGGAGCAGAGGAGACACAGGGTGAACTAGAGCTTCAAGGCACACTGAGGATGGAGGATGTGATCTGACTTGCGACTGGGAAAGACTGCTCTGGTTGCTGCAGTATTCCAGGCTAGACATGTCAGTGGTCTGGACTAGAGAGAAGCAGAGGGGATCGAAAGAAGTTGATAGCTGCCAGGTGTATGTTAGGCTTGCTGGTCCCCAGAGGGAGAGGAAGCAATCCAGGATGAATGCTAGGTATAGTGCAAGGAACCTGGTAGATGGAGGCATCATTCTTTCATTGATTTAGGGAAGAGTCAGGGAAAAGCCTTTGGAGAAGTGTTCCTTGGGGAAAGTAATCTTATAGTTTTGGGCATATTAGAATTCTGTGAGGAGAAAAAAGTACTAAGGGTTTACATCAGTTGGGACGTTCTTGGTTACAAGTGACAGAAAAGCAACCCAAATTATTTAAACAGAAAAGGAATTTCTTGACACAACTAAAATGTTCAAGGATACGGGCTTCAGGCACAGCCTGATCCAGTCCACAAAGGATCTTGTTAGGACCTGGTTTCACCTTATTTCTTGGTTCTGCTTCTTTTATCATGGCTCCAGTCTCACAAGCTCTCTTCTCTATGAGGGTCACGTGGCTGCAGCACCTCCTCATCTCTTCCCAGGATAATCCTTTCCAGTAGCTCCCCGAAAAGGTCCAAGACTTACTCTGAATTGGTGGGCCAATGATGGCAGGGGCAGAGGGAACTGCAGGATGTACTCCACCCTGAGTCCATCACTGTGCCTAGGGGAATGTGAAGATCTAATTGGCTTAGTGTGGGTCATGTGCTCTGCCCAGACCAAAGGACTCTGAATGGGAGCGGCATGGATCCCCAGAGAGAAATCTGTAGCTGTTACTCTAAACAAAAGGAACAGATGTTGGAAGGGTCAGGGGTTATAATATATGTCCTCTGTGAGATCCCCCTAAAACTCGCCCTTAGCAAAGGGTAACCCAGATGATTTATGGGGCCGCTATGAGGCTGGGGTGAAACGAAGGTTCAGCTGGTGTTTGGGAACCTCACAAAGGCATTTTCTAAGTAAAGTGGCAAAATGAGGCGGAAGTTGTAGAGCCCTTAGTGAGGTCCATAAAAGAATATGTAGAAAGCAAAACTTCCTCCCGAAACTGCTGTCAAAAAGCTGATGCTGCCCTTTTGAAGAATAGTAAGGATTGGGTTTACAAAATACAGTAGGCGGGTTCCCCTGTAGCCCGCTCCATAATTTCAGAGGAAAATTTTAGGCAGACATTTGACTACTTTGAGATGAAAAATTTTCCAAGTGATCAGACTCTAATTTTCACTTCAGTTTTTCTAGTGTTTCCTGGGATACACAGACGAGACAAGATCTCTGGGAATCTAGCAGGGGAGATCCAAGAGCAGGTGCAAGGCCACACTGAGAATTGTCCAACAGCAGGCATGCATACAAAACAAAGCAGCGGTGCAGGGACTTACTTCTGCTGTCACAGGAGCCTTCACAGAGGTGACCGTTGATGCCTTAGTGAGTTCTGAAGGATGAAGAGGAGATCACCAAAGAGGGAAAAGGTGGCAGGTGTTTTCCACAGAGGGAAGAGCAGGAGCAGCGGTTTGGAGACCTGACGGCACCGTGTGCTTTCGAAGGCGGTGTGGATTCGAGGTGTAAATTACAGCCGTACCTCTAACCATGTTACACAGCTCTCTACACTTGTTCCTTCATAGTCAAGTACAAGGATCCCTCTCTTGTGGGCTGTGAGGAGGACTGAACAAGAAAGTAAAGTACTCCGCTCAGCCACTTAATAAGAGCTCAACAAACCTTAGCTGTCCTTGCGATGACCAGCCCGGCCCAAGTGAAGGATGGGGGGTGGGGTTGAGGGACGAGGCTGGGAGACATCAGGAGTCAGATCAGAAAAGGCTCTGATGCTCCACTGAGAAGTGAGGCTGTCATCCTGGCGGCCTTCGGAGAGCCTTTCACATGGCTCTGAAGTCACCTGATCGGATTTGTTTGCGTGGGAAGGATAAGAGGGAGCTGTGAGACCAGCTGGGAAGCAGCCACAGAAACTCAGCGAAGGAATGGGAAAGGCATGAAGTTAAAGGTCTTGGTCATTGTGGGAAGTGTGTGTGTATGTGGGGTAGTGTTTGGGGGGTGGGAGTGCCGAGTGCTGTGGAGTCAGACTGAAGAAATATTCAGGAGTAATCATATAGCGCCACTGGACACAAACTCAAGCAAGTTCTTGTGGCCAACAAAACAGGCCCCTGGCTCGTGAACCCTGGGGCCGGCGCAGGTATCTTGGAGTGATTTTTGGCTATGCCCCAAATAGAACCATATTGGATGTGGCTAGTTAATAGCAATCTAACATACACACATTCCCAGTGAAGCAGCAAGCAGGGTCACCGGGACAGGCATGTGAACAGGACAAAGTATTCTTGTCTTCACAGGCCTGGACTCGAGCCTGGTTTGGTTAGCAAGGCTTCGGAGCAACACAGCCACCTGCCAAGCTTCCTTCTTTATCTCAGTCCTGCTGGGGAAGCTACCCCATGTTCACCTTTTAGTCCTCTTTCTTCCTAGGGAGGGACTAGGACTATTGGATCCATACCAAGTGCCAAAGCCCGATCCCTGCTATTTCGTAGACTTCATTTTGCTTAATTCTCACAATAGTGCAAACGTTTCCTCGATGCCCAGAGGCAAGGTCCACGTTCTTCCTCGTTGTCCTGGAGAGTGACGAGCTAAACGGGTACCTCTGTCTCCCTCTTCCTTGTTTCCTTCCAATTTCTTCTGTGCACTTACATGTATTTGCTTTCTATCCTCTCTCCTCCACTGTCTGCCCTGCTAGTATTCATCTTGGTTATTCTCTACAGCAGATATTATTATACGCATTTTATAGATGATGACAGTTTAACTCAAGGTCACACAACTAGTAAGTGGTAGAACGGGGCACAGTTCCTCTCATTGCTAGTCTAATGCAATAGTAGGAATTCAATACATAATTGTTGGACTCGAAATAGAAATGAGACTATTTACAGGGTGTTTGTGTAGGGGACAACCCGGAGACTGTGAGATCTTCCTGAAGTGTTAGATCAGTGATCTGATAGAAAGGGAGCTTGGATGGAATTCAGAAGAAGCCATCTTTAATGAAGAGTAATAGAGTCTTTGATTTTTTTCCCCTTCTTGTACCTTCAAACAGATATTGCCAAGGTAAGAAACATGGTGCAGTCGGCAGAGCCAAGGATCAGAGAAGTCACCAACAGCATGGAACATGCGATTGTCTCCCGGAGCCCTCGCATCCGCTACAACCCTGGCCTGGATGCCAAACTCCTCTACCTTCCCTTGGCTAAGTTGCCCACCCCTGTGACAGACTTCATCCTGAGCCGGTACCTTCCAAGGCCAGCAGACAGCGTCTGAGCAGGGGAAGCCCAAGGGGTGGTCAGTGGAGTATAGAGGAGGGAGCGGAGTATAGTGGAGGGGGAGAGAAGGCACTGTTGGGTCACAGAAGTTGTACCAGATGTTCTTGGGGGACGCTCTGCTTGGCTGACACCCTACTCACTGCTGGTGAATTTCTGGGTAACTTCTAACAGAAGATGAATGCCTCGTTCCACTCACTGGGGCCTCACGGAAACTTGAGGTGGTCTTTGCAGGTTCAAAGACCTGAAGCGTGGCCCCAAGAGCATCTGTCACCCTGTTAGTTACGGCTTTCTCCAGACCTGGAAAAGTCAAGGAGAGGAAAACTAGCTCCTGCTGGACCATGAGCCTCTCTCCATTGTCACCGCCACTGGGAACCTTGGTGGGGTAATCCACCCCAGGAGAACTGAACCACTTTTCTGTTGTGTCTCCAAATATGCATTAACCTCATTCACATAACCCATTATTTGAAGTATGCAGAAAACGGAGTGCAAGATTATATCAGGCAAAAGTTTATAATTGTATTTTCTCTCTCTTTTATGGATTTCTCTATCCATAGGTGATTGGAATTCACATGAAATAACATTCATTTATTTAATCATCATTGATTAATTCTTCAAGTATTTGATGAGTGCCTGGTACACACCAGGTATTGTGTAGGTGCTGGAAGGATATAAAGATGATTGAATCATGGTCTTGGTTTTTTACTCTTTATTTTGTGGTTTTGTTTTTGTTTATTAGCACAATATCTAGTAGCAGAGATAAGGCAGTGATAGAAGAAACAGAGATCAGAAAAAAATAAAATTTTAAGAGCTGTGAGGAACCATGGATATTATCTAATTCAGCAGTTCCCAAATTTGGCCATCTATCATAATCATCTGGTTAATTAAAACACAGATTCCTGGGCCTCGGTGTTAGAAAATCTGATACATTAGGCTTGGGATAGGGCCCAGAAATCTGGATTAGTGACAACAACCTAGATGGTTCTGAGGCATCTGGGCACCTGGGAACTGCTGACCGTTCCACAGAAGCCAGCTCAGAGGAAGAAGTGAGTTACCTGAGGCTCCCCAGTGTAGCGGCCATGGCAGAGCTCAGGTGGTCAGACTCTCAGACTAAGGCTTTAGTTGTAGGGGGAGAAATTTCTGAAATTAGTAACATTGTGAAATAAATCATGAACTAAATTGTTTTTTTCCAACCCACAAACTTCTGAGCCATATAAAGTTCTATTGAAAAGACTTTTTTGATTTTGAGAAATGGTCAAATGTGAATTTTTTAAATTAAAATGTCTTTAATTTGTATCTCTCAACATTCAGTTGAGCTTGAAAATAATAACATGTAACTTATTTACAGCTACAAAAGACCCCTTTTCCAAATAAGGTAACAGTCATAGATTCCAAGGATTAGGACGTGGACTTCCCTTTTGGGGGCCACCAAACAACCCCACTAAGTCTGTTGTTATTTGCATCACTTCTATCCCTGGCACCAAATTTTGTGTCGGGTAGGATGCACTGAGCAGCAAGCAACAGAAAATCAATTCACATTGGCTTAAACAACAAAGAAAGAGTTGGGGTAGGACCCCATAGCTGAATGAGAACTACATCAGCTTTCCATTTCTTTGCTCTGCTATTCATAGTTTAGTCTTTATCCTAAATTCACCACCTTTGTTGTTGTGGCATGACTGCCAGTGGCAATGGGAACTCTGTGTTTCCTCATTCACAACTCATAGGAGAAGAAAGAACCTATCTTTCCATGACAGTAAAGATTGAAGAAGTTTCTTTCCCAGAGCCCTCACCAAGGCTTTCCTTGAATCTCATTGACCCAAATTGGCTTAGGTTTGTCCACCCATGAACCAATCACTGACAAGGGGGTAAATTGCCATGAATTATTTAGATTAATCACGGGACAGAATGGGAATGCTGGAGAGTCAGTCATGGTGCCCTTTGCCCTGGAAAATTCAAAACTCAGAGTCCATGCTATTAAGAAGGTTACATCTAAGTCAAAAATAAATTTTCTTTGTTGAAGACACAAAAATTTACTAGGAGGAATAGCCATACTACCTACGGCTAGGTAATATTTTGGGATATTAATTTACATATTTTCATTGCTCCTTGGTTTCCTATTTCCCCCTTCCCCTCTCAAGTAGGGGACCGACTTGGTGCTTCTTTACCTAGAGTGAGATATTTAACAGAATAGAAAAAGTGTATTTCCTGTAGTTCTTCCAGATTTCATTTCTCCCAGCCTTAATATCTTTAGAGAAATTATAGGATTTAAGGAAAGAAGCAAAAGGGAATGTGACTTGTGGGTGTATACAATGCCTCAGAGAAGCAGGGCCTTTCCCCTAAGACAGAGTCACGCCGGTGAATTCTGATGAGAGAATAGGGTAAGGTTTGGAGCTTCCAGAGCAGGAGGGCCCAGGGCTCACTTTTTGTAAGTACATCAGGAGGTGACAAGACTCAGGAGACCCCCAGCTACATTGTAACGTGTAGGCAGGTGAAAGTCTGAGTGACCTCCATGTCGCACAGTGGCAGGAAGGCAAGTGAGGCTCACCAGATGCTAAGGTCATGTAGACTGTGACAGCAGAACATTTAAAAGGTAACCTATGGAGTTAGAAGACTCAAGTTTTTGCACTGAGGGCTAGTGCCCTACCCCACCATTAATAGTTGAGGTAGTTTCTGAATTTGTGGACTGAGATGTGTATCTGTGCCAGTTGTACATTTTAGTTAATTTTGTATTCGGATCATAACTTTTCTTGTATAGCTTTTGTATTTTCCTAGAATTTTAAATTGCTTTTCCTTCTCTTATTCACTTATTTGGCCCCTTAAATTGTCTCCACATTTTTTAAGCAAGGAAGTAATGTAACTTGATTTAAATTGTTAAGAGGTCGCTGTAGGGCTCTGTGGAATGAGGGGGCAATGGTGGAAGCAAGAAGACCCCCAAGGAAACCATTGCATAATCCAGGCAAGAAATGATGGTGCCCTGGGTTAAAGTAGTAGAGTGGGGGTGATGAGAATGGATGAAACTAGTATATAATTTGGAGGTAAAACCACTGAAGAATTTTAATCAGTTAGTCCGTCAAGAAGAATTTATTGTGCTCTTACTATGTTCCAGGCATAGTGCCAGATGCTGAAGTTATAGTGGTGGACAAGACAGACAAGAAGCCCTTGCCTTCAAAGGGTTTGTGTTCTGGTAGGGGGAGGAGTTGGGCAATAGACAGAAAGAAATGAATGAAATAATTTTATACACTGGTCAATGCCATGGAAAAGAGAGAACGTAGTAATGCAGTAGAAGACCAGGGAAGCTGCTTCCTTTTTTTTTTTTTAAATTCAATGTTATTGAGGTAAAATTTATATAACAAAATTTCATCCTTTAAGTTGTAAAGTTTGATGAGTTCTGACATATGAATACACCTGTGCATCCACCAGCAGTCAAAATAAAGAACATCTCTCTCATCCCAGGACGTTCCCCAGTGCCCATTTGCAGTTCATCATCCCTCCCCTCAGCCCTGGTTCCAGACAGCCTATAATGATCATGATAGTGTTGTTTTGAGGCTACTTACTTTTAAAGAAGATCACTTTTGCTGCCACTGAGGAATGAATTGGAATGAACTGGATTGGAGGGGACAAGAGAAGCAAGACTAGAGATGACGAGAGAGATGTGATAATACAATTACAGAAATCAGAATAACTGGCATTTGTTGGACATCTATTCAGTCGCAAGCGCTGTGCCTATTGCTTTCCATATATAATGTACTTAATCTCTGCAGCAAGCCATGTGCGTTTTACAGAGGAGGAAACCAAGACTCAAAAAAGTTAAGTAATTTCCATAAATTACACAGCTGACAAATGGCGGGGTCAGGGTTCCAGCCCTTGCAGCTCGCTGTACACCACAATAGCCAACACACAGTGCTTACTGCATGCCAGGCACTCTTCTAAGCTCTTTAATATTCACAACAAAGAAGGATATTATTATTCAACTTTAATGAGGAAGATTGGATAATTACATATCTTAAAGAGTAACTGGCAGAGCAGGTCCTTCTAGTTCCAAATCCTGTTCTTTGAACACATCATTGCTTTATTTCGTCCTGGGGAGCATCTCTGTGCACGCGCATTTGCAGCAGGGTTTTCGGGCCAGCAGATATGATGTGGCTTGCTTCTGCTTCCATGAACCTTCTGAACCTGTCCTAACCAGCCTTGCTTGGGCCTCTCTTTGAGCTCTTTCCCTATGAAAAGAGGGAGCCTCTGTCTTCCATGGGCCTCCTTTTCTCCTATAGGACATGCCTGCTTTTCACTTGAGCCTCAGCTGTCTGCTTGCCAATGAACCTCAACCCAAAAGTGAAGGGAGGTGGGAGGACAGAGCACCATTCAGGGTAAAATGGGGTTGGCTGGTCACTGAGCTATTGCCTGGCCAGATTGTTTGTGACATTCTTTTTTTTTTTTTTAACATTTTTTTAATTGAGTTATAGTCATTTTACAATGTTGTGTCAAATTCCAGTGTAGAGCACAATTTTTCTGTTATACATGAACATTACATATATTATGAACATACATATATTCATTGTCTCATTTTTTTTCACTGTGAGCTACCACAAGATCTTGTATATATTTCCCTGTGCTGTACAGTATAATCTTGTTTATCTATTCTACATATGCCTGTCAGTATCTATAAATTTTGAACTCCCAGTCTATCTCTTCCTACCCCCCTCCCCTTGGCAACCACAAGTTTGTATTCTATGTCTATGAGTCTGTTTCTGTTTTGTATTTATGTTTGGTCTTTTTTTTTTTAAAGATTCCACATATGAGTGATCTCATATGGTATTTTTCTTTCTCTTTCTGGCTTACTTCACTTAGAATGACATTCTCCAGGGACATCCATGTTGCTGTAAATGGCGTTATGTTGTCAGTTTTTATGGCTGAATAGTATTCCATTGAATAAATATACCACATCTTCTTTATCCAGTCATCCGTTGATGAACATTTAGGCTGTTTCCATGTCTTGGCTATTGCAAATAGTGCTGCTATGAACATTGGGGAGCAGGTGTCTTTTTGAAGTGGGGTTCCTTCTGGATATATGCCCAGGAGCAGGATTCCTGAGTCATATCTTAAGTCTTTTCCTAGTCTTTTGAGGAATCTCCACACTGTTTTCCACAGTGGCTTGTTTAAAACATTCTTGAACAACAACAGTGTAGATACTGCATCCAGACCAGTATGAAAGGAGAGAATTTTAATGCCAAATTTGGAACAATAGCAAAATGTTCCTTTTGGAATTTCTGACAGAACAGGAGGAGTGAAGATTTTAAAAACTGTGCATTTGTTTGATAATCAAAGATAAGTTTCAACCTGGAGATGAATATGAACTGCAAGTAAACACTTTTCAAAGGCAGAATTGAGACTCCGCTCAAGAGTCATTTCAGAGGGCTTTGTAGTAAGAAGAAAAATACCAGCTCTTCCAAGGTTGCCAGGAAAGGAGAGCTCTGAATTTCTCCTTCTACTGAAGGTGGAGGAGGAACCCCCTCCCCATGCAATTCTGCTATCTTCTGCGCTGATATCTGGAGAGGCCAGTGATGGGTGAGCCACTTCCAAGACAACCATGACTTAATCGTGACATGTGACTCAGGCTTTGGGAAACTGCTGGCCAGGCCGCTGGACCTGTGAGGCTTGAGGGTACTGGCTGAGTATCTGACAGAGAAGGGGGCCCAGCAGCTGAGGGGCCAGATATCAGATAGGCTGGAGATGGTGACCCTGGATGTCACCAAGACAGCGTTGCTGCAGCTACCCAGTGGGTAAAGGAGTGTGTGGGAGACCGAAGTATGGTTTAAATACATTTCTCTTAATCTAGATGTCCTCTTATTCCAAGTACTGGCCCCACAAGACGACATCAGCCTACTGGTGAGAGAGAGACACTATCTAGTTATAAAATGTGCTCTTTTTTTTAAATTGAGGTATAGTCAGTTACAATGTGTCAATTTCTAGTGTACAGCATAATGTTCCAGTCAAGCACATGTATACATATATTCATTTTCATATTCTTTTTCATTAAAGGTTGTTACAAGATATTGATTATAGTTCCCTGTACTATATAGAAGAAATTTGTTTTTCTTAATCTATTTTTATATATAGTGGCTAACATTTGCAAATCTCAAACTCCTCAGTTTATCCCTTCCCACTCCCTTTCCCCTGGTAACCAAAAGATTGTTTACTATGTTTGCGAGGCTGTTTCCATTTTGTAGATGGGTTCATTAATGTCCTTATGTTTTGTTTTGTTTTTTTTAGATTCCACATATGAGTGATATCACATGGTATTTTTCTTTCTCTTTCTGGCTTACTTCACCTAGAATGACGATCTCCAGGTCCATCCATGT